TCGTACCCCTTCGTCACCTCGTCGCGCCGGATGTCGCACAGCCCGGTGTGCACCCCGACACGCACCCGCAGGCCGTTCCAGTGCTGCCGGTACACCGCGGCGTCCAGGCGCGCCGTCGGCGGCACGTACCCCTCCGCGTCCTCCTCCGCCCGGCCCTCCTCGAACTTGCGGTACGCCTCGTCGAGCGCGCCCGTCCCCCAGTCGTGCTGCACGAACACCTGCTGCAGCTCCCGCACCAGCTGCACCGCCGCGAACACGCTCTTGCACGCAATCATGAACGAGTCGCCGATCGTCTTCACCTCGTAGCAGCGGTACTTCGCGATCAGCGCGCGGATCAGCCGGTGGTGCGTCGCCACGGCGTCGGGCATCAACTCGGGGCACGCAGCCCACAGCGCCGTGCTGCTCTCGATGTCGGTGAACACGAGCGTCACGGGGTCCGTCGGCTCCTTCGGCGCATTCGCGTTTTTACGGGACTCTCGGCGGCGGTACAGCAACACCAGGAGCAGAGCAAGAAGAAGCAAAAGCACAGCGACGCAGCCGACGATGATGCCGAGCAGCTGCAGCGTTGTGAGGCCGCCCGCGACGGGCTCCACGTACTTCATCGACGGCGTCATGGGAGGGAACAGTACCGGCACGGCGGGGTCCAGCGCACGGGCAAACGACCACACTGAAAGCAGCGTCGCCCCGTAGTTCACCCCACACTCCGCGTCACCGGCGGTATTGCACGCCGTGTCGTCAACGAAGGGACCGTAGTACATGTCGTCCGCAGTCACAACGACGTTGTCGTAGAAGAAGTCGGCAGCCAGTTCGGCACTCACATTCTCCATCTGTGAGCGGACAGTCAGCACGAGCCGCGCGGAGGCGAAGCCCAAGAGCGACAGCGGCGTCCGTTGGGACGCGTCCGGCACGGCGGCGACGAACTGCGCGGCAGTCCCCGACGCCGAGCCGTCGCCGGCCCAGTGCGGCAGACTCGTCGCGAACACAAGGCGGTCGGCGACCGTGCCCTTGCGGAAGGGGGAACTGAAGGCAGCAACGAATTCGGCGTACAGCAGTGCCAGCTCGGAGAACGGGACGAACACACGCACATCGTCGAACGCCTCCAGGTGCCCCGCAATCACTCGGGCATCGCCAGCCTCGAGGCCCACCACGAACACCACACCCTCGGACGGTAGTCTGTCCTCCATTGCATCGCCGGCTGCCAACAGTGTTTTTCCG